CTCCTCTTCCTCTTCCTCCTCCTCCTCCTCCTCCTCCTCCTCCTCCTCCTCCTCCTCCTCTTCTTCTTCTTCTTCTTCTTCTTCTTCTTCTTCTTCTTCTTCTTCTTCTTCTTCTTCTTCTTCTTCTTCTTCTTCTTCTTCTTCTCCTTCTCCTTCCCCTTCTCCTTCTCCTTCTCCTTCTCCTTCTCCTTCTGCCATATCCGTTATTGGTGATCATGTTGGCGATCTTGTTTTTATCAGCAGCCGCACGAAAAAGTGCTGCTGAGTTTTGTCCAACCAGTCCCTTAGATTTTGATTGTGCAGGAAACCCTACACCATTTCAGACAAATGGCTGTCCAGTCTCTTCTTTAAAACTTCCAGTGTTGGAGCATTCACCGCTTCTGGAGGCAGGTTGTTCCACTGGTTAATTGTTCTCACTGTCAGGAAGTTTCTCCTTAATTCCAGGTTGCCTCTCTCCTTGGTTAGTTTCCACCCATTGCTTCTTCTCCTGCCTTCAGGCGCCTTGGAGAATAGCTTGACTCCCTCTTCTTTGTGGCAGCCCCTGAGATATTGGAACACTGCTATCCTGTCCCCCCTCATCCTTCTCTTCATTAAACTAGTCATACCCAACTCATTCTTCATGTGTTTTAGTCTCCAGGCCTTTAATCACCTTAGTTGCTCTTAGTTGAGGTTTCCATTCGATATGTTGAGCGGGAGAATCTTGTTTAGCGTATTTTAAGTGAAAGAGTATGGTAAGATCTTGTCGAACAACTGTAATTAGAGCTGGGATTTCCATCGCTAAGCGGTGCAGTTGTAAGATGTAAGATTATGTGACTGTGCCAAGTTACAGTGACAATTCCAGCAATTCCAGTTGCGGTCATGAAGCAAATTCTGTTAAGGTTTGCAAGCATCCCACAGTCACTATTTGTTATCTCCTACCGGTTTTCCCGTTGACTTTGCTCGTCTGTCGCAAATTGCACTCAGGTAACCGTGGGATGCTGCAATGTCATAATTGTGAGTCAGTCTGAAACACACGCACATACACACACACACACACACACACACACACCTGAAGAGAGGGATAGGTATCGTTGTTATAAATCGCTCTTAAATTTTGGGAAGGGCGGAATAAAACGTGTTTTTTATTAATTTGGTATATCTCCCACGGGATTCAAACACTAAAGATTGTGTGTGTGTGTGTGTGTGTGTGTGTGTGTGTGTGTGTGTGTGTGTGTGTGTGTGTGTGTATTTCTTACACGGGGACAGAATTTTGAAGAGGTGCAGCCATCTGACTTGGGGGGTTTTTTTTTTGGCCTTGGAATATTTGTCACAATTAAGGTCAATTATGTGAGCGGGTGATAGATAATGCATTTATAGTCAGGCTGACATATGGCACCATATTGCCAGGAGGGAGCGTGGGGGGAGAAGGGGGGGCTGTCCTAGACACAGTTTCTTGGAAGGGAGCCCAATTAAACTCATTGAGGCTTATTTTTAAATAAGGGAGTCGCTTTCAGACAAGCCTGCATAGAAAATAATAAGCTGCACTGAACACAGAGGAGCCTGTTCCTATGTGAAGTTGGACAGGGTTGGCTGCTTCTGTCTTCTTCTTCTTCTTCTTCTTCTTCTTCTTCTTCTTCTTCTTCTTCTTCTTCTTCTTCTTCTTCTTCTTCTTCTTCTTCTTCTTCTTCTTCTTCTTCTTCTTCTTCTTCTTCTTCTTCTTCTTCTTCTTCTTCTTCTTCTTCTTCTTCTTCTTCTTCTTCTTCTTCTTCTTCTTCTTCTTCTTCTTCCTCCTCTTCTT